CCATTGACATTCTTAACTGACCTCAAACTGTTCCAGATTCGCATAAGATCCACTAGAAAGCTTCTTTCTGATGGTTGCAAAATCCATTGGATGCTCAATAATATCATGGTAGTCTGGAAGCTAAACACATCAACACAGCAGAACATAAGATTCCATGCAACGTCAGTGTCCAAGAAGATAATGGGACTCGAAATGAAATGCACCTCCTCAGGATCGACCGGCTCGGCAAAGACGCCATATGTATCTTTCCTGATAGCAAACCAATAAAACTAATGAAAGGAGACTCAACAAATGACAATCGGTACACATTGGCCAAAACCCAAAACAGGGAAAAGGGCAGCCGCAGGTGAGTTTCAAATAAAGAAAGCACAGCACTCACTTCTGCAGCCTATCGAGGATGAAAACCAACAACTTTTTGTCCGGCAATGGTGTAGTGGGCCCGGAATCTGATGGCAGCAACAGCGCAGCACATAAATAAACAAGCATCACCAAGATTCACCGAGATAAACGAAAGACAAAATCTTGTTCTTTTATCCCCCTCTTATCTTTTACTATTTTCTCGAAATAAACGCAGGAGTGGAGCACCAAACCTTGTGGAAGATCCGTCGCTTTCGAGGCAGGATTCTGTCTTTCTGTCTGTAACGAGGGGGAAAAACACTACGCCATATCAGTCAAAAGAAGGAAAAAGAAACAACATCATCTTCTTGGTAACAACACAAAAGACCGACTGGTAGACGAAGAAATAAAGGTCAGAGAAGATCCACGGATTAATGCTGGGAATGGAAAGGAAATTAAAAGGAAATCAGACAAACAAAGCTCCGACTTGCTTTCCGTGTTTCCAGAAGCACATGATGAGGGGAAGGTTGACCTAGTCAAATCGCAAAACTTTCGCACCCTCGAAATGGAATCGACGAAGAGTAAACCAAAAGGAATAAACGGAAAAGCCAATCCAGGAACAGAACGAAGTCCAACGAGCCCTTAAAGAAAACCACATCCCGTCCCACCCGAGAAGCACGGACGGATTCCCGATCCGTGGCCAAAGCCAAAGCCGCACTAGATTTCCACCAAATTTAGAGACCTTGCCGAATCCGCTAAATTCCAGAACGACTAAATCCCCGCAGATCTGAGCAACGCCTTCGCGAAAGAGCAAGAAAGGGACGGGGAAGAGGGGAAACAGAAGGGGACCAAATTACCTGGGCGTCGATTCCGACGGAGCCGACCTTTTCCGCCCTCCGTCCATCGGATTCGGAGCCGGAGGGGGCTGAATCGGCGGAAGGGTTGTTGGGGAGACGCAGAACGAGCCGGAGTTTCTTCTCCCGCCTCCGGCTGCCGGACCGATCGTCCTCGTCATCGTCGTCCTCGGCCGCCGTGTTCGACTTCGGCCGGGCCTGCCGGCGGGGATCGTCGTCGGGTGGGCTAGGGTTGCGCTGCGGATCCTCTTCCTGCTGCTCGAGGCGCTGGAGGCGGAGGCTGCGGCGCTGGAGATCCAGCAGGGAGGGGCGCCCCTTCTTCTTCTTCCTCCCCTTCGTCGCCACCGGCGGCTTGCTGTTGCCCATCTCACCACACGCCCCCACCGCCCGCCCCCTTCTCTCTCTCTCTCTCGTCGTCTTTTTTTTTTCTCTCTCTTCTATCTTTGCGTGTCTTTTTTTTTCCTTTTTTTTAATTTCTTTTTTTCTGTTTCTTTTCCAAGTACGCCGCACGTGACGGGCGGCGCCCATATTTACTGCAGCGACGTGACGGGTGCGTGAGTGACGTGTGTGCGCGTTGTGTAATGGCTATGATATCAATGGGCTTATATTGGGTTATATGGGCCGTGGCCCGTGGGCCTTGGGCCTACATCTAAAACCCATACTAGCCTTCAAAGATGATTACAAAAATATTAATTAACGACTATAAAATTAAATCATATATTAAATCAAGTAAATATTAAGAAAAAATTTAAATAAAAAATTAGTAGTGAGTCAAATTTCATGTTAGATACGTGAGAGCATTGCAAAATTATGAGCTTTCTTACTGTCACATAATTACAATGGTGATTTAGCACACTTAAAAAGATTAACCGTAGGCATGAGCTAAATCCCTATACAACTTTTCATTATAATAATACATTCTAAATTATTTTTAACAAAATCTATACGACGCGAGTTTACCTTTTTATTCTTATTTTTTCTTAGCGACGTGGATCACACCAGTGATACTTGGATCAACCCGACTCTAGTGTGGTTAGAAAGAGCTTAAATGCTCGCTTGATTAATGTCAGTTTGATTTTTTGATACAATCATTTTGATTAAACCTATCTTAATTACTATGCTTAGATAATCTTTTACGGGTTAATCGAGAGAATATTTTAAATTATAGGTAGAATATTCTTCGGAACTACTATTTTTGAAACACATGAAATATTTCTCAGTATTATTATTTGTACAATTTGTATCCCAATGTGTTTTTTGTAATAAAGTTGTCAATTGCATTTTGTATTGTTTAAACTATTCTTTATCTGTGTTTTTTTTTTTTTTTGGCAATACGTTTGCTCATCATCAACTAAATCTCTTTTTCTATGGTCAAAAGAAGGTTGACGACTTCTGCAAACAAGTGTCGGATGCAAATGCCATAGGAACAAAGTAAAGTATGTTTAGGTGTGGATGGTTGAAATGAAAAGGATATGCATTGCGGCATGCATCTGTCGGCCGATATGATATATGAGACGGCTAAGAAGGCATAATAATATCAATCATCTCATTTTGACTGAGTTGATACGTTGAACAGATGCAACTAAGCCATCCATGCCTTTGAGATTGTTATGTGATGACGTTGGGGAATGGCTATTCATTTTACAGTTTATGTTTATACGGAATTAATTTTCATATGAATTTGATTTCAATTTTGTTTTAGCACTAAAGTGACTCGAATAAATTTGAAGATATTTATCGACCTACATCGGGTCTATCTTTATTACGTGACATCCAGGTAACACTTATATATTAAACCCTCTATAGCTTAAGAGTTATCTTATAAATTATTATTATTATTATTATTATTATTATTATTATTATTTCAAGTCCAAGAGAGACTTGGCTAGTCAAGAAGAAGTTGGTCGCAAACGTGTGTTTTAAAGAATCTTATCGTCGATTGTGAGTCGGCTCGGTTCGATCCGAATCTGAAGGCACAGGACGTTTGAAAATCCACAGGATGGTTCTCCAAGACGATCGATCAAACTTCGGAGCAAATGAGGTGGCACCGAGATGATTTATGGAACGAAATCTAAGCATTTGAGGGGGGCCCAAGAGTGGATTGGGTTTTGGCCTGCCAACGAGTCCATACACAAAGGTTGATGACGGGGGAGTTTCCCGACATAACTCGCTCAAGTTAGCTTTAGGATAGTTTTATAATGTGAGAGGGTTAGTTGCATAAAGATTCAATCCCCTAGACTAGTATCGAGGGTCAACTTTTTTACCTATTCGATCAAAATGACCACTTGTAACGATCATAATGTCTTCCCACTAACACTCCATCAACGAGGGACAATAGGCTTGTAGTGATCATAATGTCTTCCCTCAAACATTTCATCATTGGGGGCGACGGGCTTGTAACGACCATAATGTTCTCCCTCGAATATTTCGTCAATAGAGGCGACGGACATATAATGATTGTAATATTTTTTCTCTAACATTTTGCTCGTGGAGGTTGACTGAGAAGGGGTCGACCAAATCGATCCCCATAGATTGGTTCGACCAAGTCGACCAAATGACCCGTCGTGGACTTTGTCCATGGGGTCGATCGATCGTATCAACACATACGAGTGATGATTGGACCCTTATCTTTTCATATCAGCATTTGTATGACAATCAAACAAAAGAATAAGATTGATTATCAAAATATTTTCTATTAGTGTTCAAATTACTTGATCACAGATCTAATCGGTGCTCTTTTAAGAATTGAACAAAAATATAGAGGTAAAATCAATTATCGAATAAACATTCCTCTAGTGTTAAATAGGAAAGAATATATAGCAATAGTAAGATGCCAATATGGATCCAACTTTAGCTCCCTCGTAATGAGTGACATCACTACCTCAACCAACACCATGGCTCCTTTGCACGTCATAGGATAACGATAACATTAAGCCCATACCTTCATGGCCACCAAGATGATGACAAACTATATTAGCCTAACACTCATGTCAAAAGGAAACCCCTCTTAAGATGACTTCTAAGAGGGAGTGAATGGGAGAACCTTCGTGAACACCTTACTACTGCACCTATCATAACGTGATATTATTCTCTGACTTAAAACATTAATAAAAGACTTTCTGGTCAACCCCCAACATTCTTTTTCTTTTTTAGTCTTGTAGATAGTTATTCATGAACATATTGACTTCAGCACATATACCTAAACGTGAATTTTAGTCTTTTTCATATAAAAAAGGATAAATTCCATAATTTACATTACAATGTCACTTTAAGCTTAATAAGTATAAAAAAATTAAATTTTATAACTAAGGAATCTTTATCAAATGGAAAGATCCAATGAATGATGCTACTAATCGAAGGTATTGAATACAAATCTTCTCAAACCTGTATTATGAAATTATTCTAAAATATTTTATTTATTATGTATTATGTATTATCATATCTAAAGTCGAATACAAGTCTTCTCAAACCCCAATTAAAATTATGAGATTATTCTAAAATATTTTATTCAGAGAATAATAACATTTTAAAATATAAAGGTGTTTATTATTAGTTTATCTGATAAAAATTTTGATAATTTATCTTTTAAAAAAATAAAATATCATATTTGCACCTCCAAAATTAAACACATATATTATTATTCTAAATATCTGAATAATTTCTATATAGTTTTGGCTTCAGGATATGTTCAACTGATGATGTGCTGTTGCTGAGTCATCACACGAGAACTTGCCGTGCAATAGAAACGCTTCCATAAATATTAGTCTTCTCTATGGATCCTCTTCCGTCTCCGTCGCCGGTTTTCCTCGGAATCCCCTTAGATATGATGTCGGATGCCTCTTTCCCTTACCTATCTCGTGATCCAAACATTTTCCCAGCAGCTGCGGGAGCTGCCCACGGGTTCTGCTATACTTATCGGAGTTGACCAAAGACCTGAGAATGAATTCATTCGGAGTGGTTGCTGTGGGCTTGCTTTGGTTTGGCCTTTGGCGTGTGAGTAGGTGGGGTGGACGGGGGAGAGTATATAACGAAGAAGAGAGTGTTCCGAAGAGAGGAGAGGAATAAGGAGTACGGCAGACGGGAGTTCGAGAAGAGAGAAGTGAGGAAATCGAGCAGTATGTGTATAGCTGCATGGATATGGCAGGCGCACCCTCTCTACCCGCTCGTCCTTTTGTTCAACAGAGACGAGTACCATGATAGGTATGTTATGATTCTTTTCTGGGTCTTCTGTTTTCTCAGATTTTTCTTCTGTGTCCAGAATAACTTGATGTTATTCTTAGGAGATCAGTATGCCAACTTTGTGTTGGAATTGTTACATAGGAAGGTTCATAGACCCCCTTCTCCCTCACATTCTAACATGAATCTTGCGTCCTTTAGTGTGAATCTGCCTTCTTAAGCTTCGCAAATTGAGACCTGCAGGTCTTTGTTCTTATTTTGTTTTCCTTGTTCTTTTGCTGCCTGTATGCTGAAAGAGACTTTTTCAGTTTCTTCATAGTTCATAATGGCGAAAAGGCACATAAGCAAGAGAGTAATGCTTTGGATTCATGAGAAAGAACTCCTTTAGTTCAGCTTTCTTGTTGTTGTTAATGGTATTATTGATCAAAGATTGAGAGGTTGCTTTGTTGTTGGATTGACATGGATGGCAGGCCTACAAAGCCAGTGGCATGGTGGGGGGAGGGCCATCGGAAGATACTGGGAGGGAGGGATGTGCTTGCAGGGGGGACATGGCTGGGGTGCACCAAGGATGGGAGGCTGGCCTTCTTAACCAATGTCTTGGAGCCTGACCACCTGCCTTGTGCAAGGACCAGGGGAGACTTGCCTGTCAGGTTCTTGCAGGTAATACCTCTGTCTTGACGCCATGGCTGTCTTCATTTGGAATCTATCCTTGTTACTGAACTTTGCCATGTACAGATCATCTTCTTCTTCCTTTCTTTTTTTTCCTTTTGTAATTTTCTTCTGTTCATGCAACCTCTGAAATATTCTTCTGGCATTTGATCTTTGATCACAGAGCTGGAAAAGCCCCTTGGAATTTGCAGAGGAGCTTGTCATGGAAGCAAGAGACTACAATGGGTTTAATCTAATATTAGCTGACATTCCATCCAAACTCATGGTGTACATCTCAAATAGGCCTAAGGAAGAGCCTATTTCCATTCAAGTGGTTTCTCCAGGCCTTCATGTGCTCTCTAATGCAAAATTAAACACTCCGTGGTATAAGGTAAGCAACCAATTTAAATGTGGTGACTTCTTTTCTGATTGTCCCAACAAAATGCCATTATATCTGCTTTCTGCAAATTAAATTTTTTCTGATTGATTTTTTTTGTGTTGGTTTGTGTTAATTATAAAGAAGAAGAATTGAATACATGAGTCATGCTAACTCTTGATGGTTATAAATTCTCCTTACAAGCTTTGCATCATCTCTGTGGATATGCTTTTCATTAACTTCTTCTTCTTGTATGCTTTTCTTGAATGTGAAACAGGATCACTAATTCCATCTCTTTTTTGTGCTATTCATTCTATGTCAGAAAAATTAGAGTAATTCTTGTAATTAAAGTGGTGGACTCAACTTGATTATAATATGTTATTTTCTTGTTCTTCTTGGGTTAAATCAAGATTGATTAACAAATAGGTTTTCTTTTTTTTAACTGCAACTAAATATTAAAAATACAAATATTCCTATTTCCATTAAGAAATATTTGCTGTGATGGGAATGAACCAAATACAATTTAACATATTATATGTACAGCTTTTGTTTTTTCTTTTTTTGTTATATACAGCTTACTAGTCAAGTACTTCAATTCCTGCTCAAAACCTTGTAGTGATTACCTAAAATAAGGCTACACTAATTAATTGTGGTTTTTTTTCCCCTAACTTTTAGATATTATTAGGTGAGGATCTTTACTGATCAAGGAACCTTGAGGTTCATGTAATAAGGCTGCGGAAAACAAGCATTTCCTTTTCCACTTCAGTAATCTGTCCAACCAACTTTCAAAAAAACTATTTGTAATATTCTTTTGGAACATGCTCATCATTTCCCTCTATGTATAACTTTTTGTATTTGGGAGTGCCATTGCAATACTGGGACAGAATGTATGATATTGTGCCGTATAGACACTTCAATTAGAATCTGGTAGTAGATATATGGTGCTGTTTCTGAAAAGAATGTGCAGTTTTTCTATGTAGGATGTAGATCATATGTCAAAAAGGTACATAAATTTATCTATTTAAAGCTAACCAGGATAGCAATTGTGGTAGTGAACTAACAAGCAAAGTTACTGCCTTGGTGGCAACCGAAACAAGGTGATGAAGAACACTAGAACACTATTCTGGGAATTAGGCTGTTTCAGTATCTTTTACTGACATCCATCTCTTATGCAAGTGTTTCTTCATCTGAGAGCAGTCCCTAATATCAGAAGCAAATCCTTCATTCTTGCAATAGCATGGATATTGCATCTTTGCTTCAGTTCATTTTTTTTTCCCTTTTTTCTGAAATAGATAAATTGTATCAATGCTTACTTTATTGATTTTTTACGTCAAGGACCTTACTATTGCTCACGTTGTTTAATCTCTTCCAGGCACAAAGATTAGCCATGAGATTTAGAGATCTACTTGTCAAGTATGATGAGGAAGAAATCCCTGAAAAGGAGATGGTTGTTAAACTGATGAGTGACACTGCAAGGGCTGATAGAGATAGGTTGCCAAACACTGGCTGTGATACCGAATATGAATTCAAGTTGAGCTCCATCTTTGTTCAGTTCGAGACAAAACAGGTGGGTACCCGATCATTCTACTCTTGTTTTCCTTCATGTCTATGATTATTCAAAATCGACCATTTGAAACTAAATCTGTTTATTGCTAAACAGCGGCAATTTGGAACGCGAAGCACCACTGCATTGTCTGTCAAAACAGATGGTAATGTGAGATTCTATGAGAAGTACTTGGAGAAAGGTGTGTGGAAGGATCATGCTGTATCGTACAATATCGAAAAGATGCAGTAGATGATGAAGGCAAAACTGTCCTCTTAAATTGGTGTACACACAGCAGAAGTTGTAATAGTTTACATGCTCTTCTTAAATCTGGTACAGAGCCTCTTAGCACTCAGATGCGAAGTTTGTGAATGTTTACTGGGTTACACAACTAGTCATCTCAAACATGATTCCAGAGGAGAGCTTATGTCTGTCTCTGAACTTTTGTCTTGCACATTATAGAATGGCATAAATAATCAAACTTCAGAGAGCTTTTAGATGCGTAGACGATGATTTTGATGTGTCTTTTGAATCAACAATTTATTGTCAAAAGTTCTTCATAATACTTCCTCAATTCTATTGTTTATTATTGGAACTATTGAGTTCATTGAGTTCATGTGGGATCACAGATGGGAACGAAGAATGAAGCAAATTAGTGGTAATGATTTAATCGTGTAAATGTGCACAAACTTTCTCCAGATCGGCCTGCCTGCATGATCATATCGTTCACCTATCTACGCCTTTCTTGAACTCGACTCCACCTTGAATACCATTTAGGTTGATGGGCATCATTATTAATACCTTGTCCATCACACATGCAACAATTCAGCTGAGTCGAGCAGAAGTAACCTTAAACATTGATTCATAGCTTATGTTGGTTTAGATTTTTGGCCAGCATTTCCTGCTTCAGTGTTAATGTGCCCTTAGCCAAGAACTGCTCTGTTTTTTAATCAAACAAAGGAATGCGTTGGGACTTAACACAGTTTGAGACACAATGTAAAGATACCGCGAAAAATAACTCGGGCATTATCAGAAGCTACTTCACGTTTTCTCTTTTGGAAGACGATAACATTAGGGAAAAAAACCTCTACCAAAAGTCATAATATAGTCGAAGGTATTCATGAATACAACCAGATGACGGAGTTCGAGTAGTTTCCTTCAGACCTCATGTGGTACAATTAAGTCGGGTCAGTGAAAATGCTGAAACTTCACTTGTTAGCTGGTGGTGGTTGCGTTAAATTTATCACCTCTTCAAATTATTTCATACTCGAGCAGCTTTAGGCTCTTATAAATCTCCTCATTCATTGAGCCATGGATGTTGCAGGCACTGAGCTGCTGTAGGCCTCTTCTCTGGATCAAAATCGAGAAGTGGGCAAAGGAACTCCATGAAGGAGTTGGCATCAGTTTCTGAAAACTTGTACTTGTCAACCAGAAGGCGATCCAGGCGCAAAAATTTCAACCTACGAATCCTCTTCAGGTCTCCATATCTGTCAAAGAGGTCCTTTGATCGAGATCCTGCAGTAGCAATCTTCACTAACAAAGGCAAAAACATTAGTGTCATATAAACAGGGAAGTCAACAAACAAAATGGAGTCACCTGTCGGGGCATCCTTCCAAGAAGTTCCATCATCAGAGCCAAGTGATCCTGAAATCAAGGACTGGAAGTCATTCCACAGTCCAGATATTTGCCTTAGATACCATGCTAACTGGACTCTTTCAGGCATGTCATGTAACATGTTAAATATATGTTGTGAGTTGGCCACTCAGGAACAGGATTTCGATAGTAAATTTTAGATGTTACATGTAATGATGGGATCAGATGTCGGATTTGTTTCTGATGCTTCAATGAACATATCTTTAATATTCCATATTCTAACAGCTACATTTCCCTTATTTTCCTGCCCTACATGCCTCTCTATTTCCACTTGCTGTGGAAATGGACGTCTGGACATGTGATACCAAACTTCAGAAAAGAATCAAGACATTGTCTTTTTTGAAAATCCTTGCACAGTAAATGGAACTAGAATAGACATGGATGTACCCATATGCCTGCAGAACTTATCATGTGAAGCTACTGAACTCACAATTCAAAGCAGCACATTGTTTTGGCACAAAACAATTTATCTAAACTCAAATGAAAAAAAAAAGACAGATTATCAAGTATAATGATGATCATCCATCTTTAGCCAAGGTTACGTCCGTTTGAACCATTTTATGGTAACTTCGTCCAAGAAAACTTGTCCTCGTTTCTTCTCCATGAATAAATGCCCCTAACAGGTTTCTCATGCATAATTGTGTACTGCTGTAGCCATTTGAAAACTACAATATGTATAAGAATTCACACTCCAGAAAGCAGCTTATGGATCATGATAGTTGGCATTTTAACACAGATTATCAAGTAACAATAATTGAAATGCTTCTTTAACCTGCAAGAAATTAATATATCCGATATCTTATGAGGAGATGTTGGGAGGGAGAAAAAGTACCTCATCTTCGGTGAATTCTGGGCTATTCTTAGGAGCAAAGAGCAGGTCACCAGTTGCAAGCTCAAAGGCTATACAAGCAAAGGACCACATATCAACCGAAAAGGAGTATCCCAACCCAATAATAACCTCAGGAGCTCTGTACTGCCTTGTCTGAATATCATCTGAAATTTGGTTATCAAACAAACAAGCATTCCCAAAATCCACCACCTTGCACCTCAGATCAATCCCATCCAAGCTTCTCTCCATCTCTACATAGCCTCCCATTGACATTCTTCTCTTAGAAATCTTCACCAATGCCCTTCTTGTCATAATCTTCAGCTTCTTCTGGTTCATACTGAATGGATATCCACCATTTGGGCACCCTTCAGGCCGCTCAAGAATTGGAGTGAACTTGGACCTCACAGGGTCCTTAGCAGGATTGATTGTGGACACAAGAAGCACATTTTCTGGCTTCAAATCCGTGTGAATGATACCAAGCTCCCTGTGCAAGTAATCGAGACCCACCAATATCGATCTACATATAGTCTTGACTCTGTTCAGACCAATCCCCTTGTTACGGTTGTAACGAATCAACCGAAGCAAGCTATCTCCAAGGGATTCAACCACTAAACAATAGTGCTGCCCATTGGGGCCAGCATGCATAAAGTGGTCCAGTAGTCGCACAACACACTTGGAATTGGAAGGGTCTCCGTCTGCAATCGCTGAGAGAAGCTCCGTCTCATGAAGCGCAGCTTGAGTATACTCTTTCGCGCTTTTTTGAATCTTGAGGGCAACAAATTTCTACGAAGACAAAACATAAATTCCGAAGTAAGTTTGCACGAGGGGTCAACAGAAAATGGATTACCTCAAAGCAATCGAAATGGGATGGAGAAATTGTCAGGAAGAGTAAAATCAAGCAGAAGAAACTGAGTAAATATCTCTACAACAATCATCAATATATGAGAATATGATCATAGAAGCTAATTGTGACAGACGATGAAGCAATGATGAAAACTGCTGACATGATTGTCAAAAGGCAAAAGGCACGGCCTCCTTTGATATCGATGAATCCAATGGCGCAGTCGCAATCCAACAATAGACGACATTGTGTCGTCATCATTTCCCAAAGAAAACGATCGATTCACAAGCACATGCAAAGGAGGGACTTTTGGAACCGAAAACGCATCATTTTGAAATACCAAATGAATTCCAGTCGAGAAATGACCGCCAAATCACAACCAAAAACAGTGGCGATTGAAATAAGAATAAAAAAAAATCCAAATACGTTCCTGTTTCTTGTTATTTCTCTCTTCGGAACAGGAGGAGGAGGAGGAGGAGGAGCACGGAACATACGGAAGAAAGGGTGTCGTAGGCGAGCCAGACGGTAGAGAAGTGACCCCATCCGAGCTTCCGCTGGGCGACGTAGCGGCCACCGGCGAAGGCGTCACCGACCCTAACCGCGTGGTAGCCACCCTTCCGGTAGGCGTCGACGCCCTCGTCTTCCCCCGACCCCGAAGACGGCGAGCACGACATTCCTCACCCTCTCTTCCGCCCCTCTCCCTCTGTTTCGATCCCTTTCCTGCCTCTCCCACCTTCTGCTGAACTTTATTTTGATTGAAAGGATCACCACCACATGAAATGGAGAGAGAAAGACAGCTCTTTTTTAGTGCACCTCTGGGAAATGGAAGTAACCCTTAATTTTAGCTCTCATTGTGCACCTTACAAAGGTTACAGAGACATAAGATTGACGCCTACCCACATGCCTATCCCAAAAGTCTCTGGTTAATAACACAAGAGGCCCATCTTCAAGCCATATAAAGTTAAGGTGTGACAATGGGTATAAAAGCAAGAGTGGAAGAAGCATTCCTTCCTTTCACGAAAGAAAAATTATGCACATCGACAGCCGTCTACCCCTTCATTCACCGAAACCTGTTGGTGGGCCAACAAGCCGTTTTTCCGGGCCCCACGCTCGTTCTCCGAGAAACGAAAGGTAGGTGGGCGGGTAGAAACGGAGCTCAAGGAAGAAGAAGCGGTCGCTCTTTTATTTCAAATGAGGAGCCGTCCCGAGCTCGCCCGTTGATGAGAGCGGTTTAAGGCGGCAGAATAGATGAGATTGATTCCCCACCGTCCGTTCTCTCTTCTTGATCTCAAAGGAACGGTGGATGATGACGGAAGCAACGAGGCGAAGGGTTAAGATTGTTTGAGACGATATCTGTTATAAAAGTAGTTGTAACGGATTCCGATCGACCTCATTAATTGCATACATTAAGAGAAGTTAAATTTAGTGGGTAAAGACATAACTTTACTGTGTTTAAATATATACAGATAAATAATATTTAAGAAATTAATACAATAAACACATGATTTATGAACTTTTCCTGCATAACGTTACGAGGATGATCCAACATCACATTAATGTCTCATCACGTTTATAATTACTATAATATTATGTATCCAATCAATCTAACATGTCAGTGGGACTCCCAACATTAATAACTATTTAGGGTTGAATCTACGGTGAAAATAATTGATAAATTATTTGATCTAATCTATATATTGAGATAAGTGTGTAAGATTAACTACGATAGCAGTATTACATAAAGCATATGTTGGACCGAAGTCAAAGATTGGACGATGTGCCACAAGTTTGTCGGAAGCTCACCGAGAGTTCGTCGGGAGCTCGTTGAGAGTTCATCAGGAGTTCGTTGAGAGTTCGTCGGGAGTTCGTTGGAAGTTCGTCGGAAGTTCATCGAGAAGTTCGTCAGAAAATTGCCAAAAGAACAATCGACATGTCGGACAGAGATTACATGTTTAAATGTCTTAATTGTCATAGTTAGACCTTAAGTTGAGTTATGATTGGGGGGTAATCTCATTAACTTAGTTAAGGGCCAATTGGGCCCTTAACAGGGCTAAATTGGGCCCGTTGAACAGCTCATTCAGCACCTGAAGTCACGGTCGACGGTGGCACCGCTTGGTGACTCAATCTCCCAAGTAGTCTGGGCAGTGGTATCGTTGGAAGTTAATACTGCCAGGCAATGGTACCGCTAGAGCTCGGTCTCCGAGTTCTGTCAGGCGGTGGTACCGCCAAAGCTCGATCTCCGAGCTCTGTCAAACGGTGGTACCACTCAGTGTCAGTTTGCAGGCGGTGGTACAGCCAGTACCCCAACATCCGGAGATGTTTTACTTTTTTGCTCCAATTTTGAAGTCATTGGGGCCTATAAATATCCCATCATTTTCTGCATGAAAGGACACGAAAGTATGAACAATTTCTTGAAATCTTAGGGTTTTAAAAGTGTTAAAAAAAGTACAAAAAGTCATCCTCCTCCCTTTTTAATATTATGATCATTCAAAAGAGATGTGAGACTTATAAGGGTTATCTCCTAAACCCATGAAAAGGAGAAAGTGCTGTAAAGATGTGGTTGGTCTTCGCCTATTGAAGAAAGACCATTAGTGGACGTCGGTGACCTCGATTGAGGAGGAATCGGAAGTGGATGTTTGTCACAACGATCGAACCACTATAAATTCTGTTTTGTATTTCTATTATTGTCATTTACTTACTTTGCAAATTGCTTCACTTCCTCCTTACTTGACTTTCACTACCCTTACAAACAAACACACTTTCAAGCTATCTTCCCAGATCAGTTTTCTTTTTAACGTACAAAGATTTTTAAATCGATACTTTTATCCACTACACTAATTCACCTCCCCTCTTAGTGCCGACTCGATCTTAACAATTGGTATCAAAGCTCAGTTACTCTTAATTTGGTTTAAAACTCAAGAGAGATGGTTTTTGCTGGCAATCAAGAGGGTCATTCTATCACTCGTCCTCTCATGATCAATGGGACGTATTACACGTATTGGAAAACTAGGATGAAGATCTTCTTAATTTATATGGATTTCGAGTTATGGAATATCATTGAAAACTGATTTCAAATATCTTCTCTTCCAATGAGCGAATGGAATGACTTGGAGAAGAAGACTTTCTCTTTGAACGCCAAAACTATGAATGCTTTGTTTTGTCTTTGGATAAAAACAAAGTCAATCGAGTTTCTATTTACGAAATGACTTATAACATTTGGCATACACTTGAAATCACACACGAAGGTATAAATAGGGTTAAGGAGTCAAAAAATAATCTTTTGGTTCATAGTTATGAATTGTTCCATATGAAACCAAGTGAGACCATTGAAGACATGTACACCCGGTTTACGGATGTCGTCAATGGTCTAAAAGCCTTTGGTAAAAGTTTTTCTAATATTGAACTTGTTAACAAGATACTAAGAACTCTTCCAAAGAGTTGGGATCCTAAAGTAACCGCTATTCAAGAAGCAAAAGATTTGAATAACTTCCCTCTTGAAGAACTTATTGGGTCACTAATGACCTATGAGATGACTTACAATGCTCATGAAGAGATTACGAACTACCTTCCAAAGAACAGGAAGGATATGACACTAAGAACTCATGAAGATCATTTGAAAGAAAATTCAAGTGATGAGGACTATGATGATGATTTGGCACTCTTGACAAGAAGATTCAAAAAATTCATAAAAATAAATAAATTTAAAAATGACATAAAAAATATAATTGAACCCAAGAAAGAACAAGTTATATGCTACGAATACGAATGCAAGAAGTTGGGACATTTCAAAAGTGAATGTCTCTAACTAAAGAAGAAGTAACCAAAGAAGAAGAAAGCGCTTAAAAAAACTTAGGATAACTCAAGTGCATCCGAAGAAGAGGAGCCAACCAACAAAGAGCAAGTTGCTCACTATATACCGATGGCTATCGGAGATGAGGTAAGCAGTTCATTAGATGTAAATTTATCTTTCGATAAATTTTTAAATATTTTTCATGAATTATTTGATGAATGTAAATTAGTTAGTAAAAAGTATAAACTATTAAAAAAAGGAGCATGCTTCTCTTGTTTATGATTTTGATAGATTAAAAATTGAACATGACGATAGTTTAGCTCCTTGCACAAAATATGATGATTAGAAACGCTTAAAAAGGAAAATTTACAACTACATGAAACCTTAGAGAAATTTAAAATTTTTAGCAAGTCCTTGAACATAATCCTTGCCAATAAGAGTCACGTTCATAGAAGAGGCGAAATTGGATTTGTGAGTAGTTCTCACCAAAATCCAACCACCTTTGTTAAAGGCCCTATTTGCTTGTATCACCCCGCATCAAATGTATCTTTTGTTATAAACTCGGATATATTACTTATAAATATTTGTTTAAGAGATATAGTCCACACAATTTGATTTAGGTTCTGAAAGGAACCTCAAATGACTCAATGTAATATGATAAGTTGAGTAGATCGATTTTTGAGGCACCCAAGATCAAATGAGTACCTAAAAATTATCATTTTTTTGTAGAAGTGTCTACCATAACAAGATAGGAGCAAAAATAATACCTTGATAATGGATGATTAAGGCTTATGACCAAGATCCAAAATATTCCATAAAGTTCTCTAGCCAAAATAATAAAGGAAAGATATTTTATATTCCAATCATGTTTGATGACTTAATGATGCAATAATTATTTGAAATCCTGATAAACATTTGATCTTGATCTCTCAATATTTTAAACTTGTGAATTCTTCCATGAGTTCCTTTCTTACATTTTTCTAATTTTTGGATTTCTCGACATTTAAAAATCGAGTCTTCTTTTTCTACTATTATTTCTTCTCATTGCAAGAAGGGAAATCTGATTCTTGGAACATTAGTCTTTTATGAATTGATAATTTTAATAAAAGGTCTTCCTCCCATTTACGAAAATCGAATTTCATTTTGACTTGATACGAAATTTATGCGAATAAGCGCTCGTACTACAAAATGACTATGATCTTGCTTAAAAGAGGAGACAAGAATTCTTACCTATTGTATCTCAAAAGAAAAACAAATAAGTTGTGAAAAATAGTGCACCAGCGGTGGCACCGTAAGTAAGCACTGGTTGTAGGCGGTGGCACCACCAGCAGCTCTGCTCTATAAAAGGGCTTTTAGGGTCGATGGTAGAACCGCCCCCAAGCCTTCCTAGACCTCTTCCCCACACCTCAAAACCCTTCTCCACCTCTCATTCTCCTTGTTCTTCCTCTAGAAACTCAAGAAAACCCTCATCTCTTGCTAATGTAAAGATCAATCTCAATCTTTCAAGAGATCACTACAAGGGTAATCCTCAAAAACCTTTCTCTCAATATTTAGATCTTGCTTCTTACAATTTTCTCATTAATAATATGTATAGTTCCATGGCATCTAAAAGATCCTTAAGGGACAAAGGTAAGAGGAGAGTAAATGAAACCTATGACTCCACATTCTTTGATTCCCCCCAATATGCTCTTAAATTCTCAACCTTTGAATCTAGAAGTGTTTATAAGGGAAAATATGTAGATTTAGAAGAATTAGATAATTTAGAATCAATTCAATGGTTTACCGATTTAGATGTCTTTTCAATCCTCCAAATAAGTGAACTCATTTATCATTGACTTGTTTGGTTATTTATAACAACTAATAAGTATATGAAAATGATAGGGTGTCCACTTATTTCTTAGGGCATCACATACCCATCACAGATAGTATAATTTGTAATCTTATAAGAATTCCTGAGAAAAGAAGA